AACATTTGGAAGCGGTGGTTCTCCTCTCTCTCTCTCCTCCATGACCCTCTCTGCATCACTCACAGTTCCCCTTGTCTCCTCTTCTAAATATTCATGGATTATGGTGGAGAAACTGGGTTCTCCGATGGATACCAGATGGGGCAGTGGTGGTGTCAACTGGATCCTAGGTTTGGTTGAGGTCAAGCAATTGGTTGTCAAATGAAGGCAGCAGACCCAAAACTGAGATTAAGTGCATGGGATGCCTTGGGATTGCCTTGTGATTAGTTGAGGAATTAACCATTTAATTGCTTCATCTTTTCTAAGATCGTAAGAAGCAATGAAGAATCTTTAAGAAAGAAAAGATCAAACCTCTAGGTGCTCGTTTCGCTTGGGATTGAGAACAGAATAAAACTGAGCGGTAGTTGTTACTGTGATGCAGTGAAGACCAAGAGCAGGGGGCTGACGATGATTTAGGAGCCTAAATGTTGAACTGATATAAATGAGGGGAGGACAAAACAGATATGAGGAAATGGTGAGAAATCACTGGGAATCTGAGTTCATGCTTCCAAGGTTCAAGATAAAGATGGAGGGGATGCCACTAATCCAAAGATTGGAAGGTCAGGAACTGATGAGCTCGTCTTGAATGATTTCACATTGGCTGGACCTTCGGGTAATATGGGATTGGCTTCAGAAGAAGAGATGCATGGTTCCTTAGTTGAATTATTCCCTGGACGATTCTCTGCAACATGATTATTGATTGGAGTTCTTTTTGGAGTTAATTGGAAGCAGAGCAAGGGCACTTGTCTTTCCCAATGAGAACAACAACAACCAATACCCTTGATTGTCAACTTTCTTGTAGACAACAGCGACCAAAACCTCACCGACATATACAGATAATGTCCGATAGCGTCTCTGACATCATCTCCAACATTGTCTCACTTTCAATAAGGTATCATAAGTTTTATTTTGAAAAAAAAATGATGGGTAAATAGTCTTTTTAATCCTTTCATTAATGGACACTGACAATAAAGAAGATTTAGTCAATTGTAAGAAACAGTAAGGGTACTTTAAGACAATATTAAAACTGTAAGGGTATAGTTAGTCAATTTCCTAAACCTTGGGGGTACTTTAAGACAATATAAGCGATTCTTTCCTTGTCAACCATATGGAATGAGGTTTAATAGGAAAATATTTTTGGCTGTTTGACTTCTTTAGACTGTCAAATAGGGATCTTCCCACATAACACATTAGTTCACAAGGCTCCAGCTAACAGTACCGGTGCTGTATGAATACTTGATGAACTAACATGCTGCACAATGAGAATCCCATGGACAAAATTCAGATTAGGTAAACGTAATGGCTACCATTAGGTTTACCTAATGTTAATATCATAGCTCAGCGAATGCTAAGTGAGAGATTGAATGGTTGCTTACCATTGATTTCACACCCTGTTACAGGGTCAATGCATATCATGTGTATTTTAATTATGAATTGACATGGGGTATTATCATTGATTTCACACTTTGTTACAGGGTCATTATCTTCAATTAATCCAATATACCTAGTAAAGGTTTAGAATATGGACTAATGGACATGTAAAAAAATTGCACACTGTGGGTTTCGAATAATGAATACTTAATTTTTAACTTTTTTTTTCAGCCTGACAATTGAGAAATAGGCTATTAAGGATGACTTCTAAGATCTGAAGCATTCAAAACCCCCCAAATTTTCACTATTTTGAGTATTAATGATATATTGTCATTATAAAATTTAATAATTAATTATAATAATTTAATAATTATAAAGTAATAAAATTTAATTTCAAATTAAAAATAATTAGCATAACAGAAATTTCAGAATAAATTATTATTTTTAATTTTAATAATAATAATTATTAAAATTAATTAAAATAATACTATACTTATAATAAAAAAATTCTAACATTTAAACCTTTTAAACAGTAATAAACTTATCATAAATAATATCATAACTTAAATTATGCATCAATAACAATTTACTAAATAAATTAAAATTTAATAAAAGTAAAAAAATATTAATTTAAACTCAATTTTAAAATAATGAAAAAAATAAACACAACAACCCAGGTCCAGTATGGCCTAGGCCCCTCATTTTTCCACATCACCATGCCTACCATTTCATGTCGTAACAAAGGCAGAAACTTCTCAAACATTAAACATATAGGATAATTACAATAATTAAACTATTAATTTATTTTGATATTTTTAGTAATTAGTTATTCATAAATACATAAGTTTTTGAAAATTAATTTATTCATATGAGTAATTATTGAACAATCATTAATTAATGGAACAGTAATAATTAATGGCATTTAATAATTTTTTTAATATATAAATATTAAATTATTATTATATGAAATTAATTATATATTAATATTAACTGAAGTTGATGATCATTACCTAAAATTTTTAGGTGATTTCAGGAAATTATTGATTTTGAAAATTAGTTTTTGTAATAAAAATTATTTATTGATATTGTAATTTAAATTTGTATTTTGGTCATTATTAAATTTTAAATTGGAAAAATATTGGGAAATTTTAACTCTATTTATAATTTCCACAACTATTTAGAAAATTTATTATTTTTTAAAAATTATTAAATTGGAAAATTTTAATAATTTCTATAATTAACTATTGGTAATTTACATTGGTTTTTGGTAACTAAATATTAATTTGGAAAATTATTGGGGAATTTTAACTATACATATAATTTCCATAACTATTCAGAAAATTTAATATTATTTTTGAAGATTATTAAGCTAAAAAGTTTAATAATTTACATAGTTAATTATTGGTCATTTATATTGGTTTTTGGTAATTATTAAATTGGATTTTTTGAGAATTTTAATATTGATAATTATTAATAATTTCCACAATTATTGGTAATTTACATTGGTTTTTGGTTTCTATTGTTAATTTTAATTTAGTGATTTCCATATTCTAATTTTCGTGTTTTTTGGTAATTTAATTTAGTAAAGTTATTTTAAAAAAAATCTAATTTACTGAAAATTTTTACATTTGCATTGCATGAGGGCCCACTAGTAATTCCTTAGATTGTGTTTAGTTGCAATGCAAATAAATTTGTACTGATGCAAAACTATGGGTGCAAATGATTTGAGTATAAATTCTGATCTATTTTTGTTTTGAATTTATGTTTGATTGCAGTAGAAATGAAGTAAATTAAAACATGAAGCAGAATAAAGTAAAACCCAAAGCAAAATTAAACAAGATTTTGCATTTTTTTTCATTTGCACTTTCATGCATTTGTACTAGTGCAAATAAAGTTGCATTTGCAACCAATACAACCTTAGGCCCAGTTTGGAAGGAGTAGAAATTCTCAGTTTGGAAAGAATACAAATACAAAATTACAAATATGTAGAGTGTAAAACTTTGTATTTCGTATGTATTCACATTGTACTTATTTGTACTTGTACTCTTTCCAAACTGAGCCTAAAGGAGACATAAGTCCGAATACTATACTGAAAATGAACCAACTTTAGTTTGGTTCCGACTCATTTTGTCCATTGTTTCCATTTGGTTTTAAAAAGCATAAAAGTGAATCAACTGGTCAATAATATGGTGGTAAGTGGTAACTGATTTCACAGCCGGGCTAGAAATAGAATAACACATGACATACCACCTTTCCAAACATTACTTTAAGCAGTTAAACTGTAGCGTACCAAACACTACCTAACGACCAGAAAATGGCTAAACAGTAAACACCTCCTAACCACCATACACGGCGATGTGCTGGGGGGGGTTGATTTGAATTCCAACAGAGAGCAAATCATCCCCCCACAACGTCCCATAKTACATTCAAGCCGTGTATTGAGAACATCTTTCGATGATGATACTAGAAATGACGATGTTATCATCGGGAGATATTCACAATACACAGCATAGATGTGTTATGAGACGTTGTGGAGGGCAATCTGGTGGGGGGCTGATTTGAACTCCAACAGAGAGCAAGTCAGCCCCTCACGATAATGCCCCCCACAACGTCCCAAAGTACATTTAAGCCGTGTATTGAAAACATCTTCCATGACGATACCAAAAATGATGATGTCATCATCGAGAGATATTCACAATAAACGACGAAGATGTGCTGTGGAACGTTATGGGAGGCTGATTTGAACTCAATTCAACAATGCTGAGTCTGCTACGTCTAGAATTTCTTCTCAAAAAGTAGTTGCAGCTTCCTTTCCTTCCATCTAGTGCATCTAAGTGTCGATCTCTCTCTCTCTCTAAATGCGGGACCCTTTGGTGTTTTCTATCCGTTGGATTGGTATCAAGGTGATAAAAGGAGAAAATCATCTCCCATGCTCAACTCCATAAGCTGTTATTCTATTCCATTCAGGCCTCTCTTTCCTGCTCTTCTTTTTCTTTTGGGCCTTTGGGGTAAGATCTCTTTCCCTTTTAGATGCATAAGAAAGAAAAAGGGTTTGAGGCTTTGAGTTATGAGTGTGATGGATAAGTGGCTGGTGCTTAAGGCTCAAGGGGGTATGCGTAATGCGCACAGAAGTAACTTATATTGAGATTCTGTCCAAAATAGAAGACGCCTCTCTAGAGTTCTCAGACTCAATGCTCTGTATCCGTTTCTGTCCTGGCATTCAATTCCTTCAACCCCACTTTCTCCTGAAATGAAAAATGAATTGGACCCAACTTCCATTCTTTCAGATTTCAGATTTCAGCCAAGAAATTAAGATCCATAGATCCCACTAACAGGAAACAGAGAAATAGAAGGAAAGTTCTTTGTAGGGTTACTTGGGCTTCATCTTCCATCCTGGGGTCCTTGTTTGATCATCAAAGCACAGACATACACAATTACGCGCATTCATTCATGTATAGTTGTATACATACAGTTGACAGTTGATTCAATTATTTATGGGTTCTGTCATCTGTGGGGAACTGGGAAAGAATCCCTTCACAGTGATTAACACCACAAAAAAAAAAAAAAAAAGATCAGAGTAGCAGTTGGAGAAATAAACCCGTGAAATTTCCATGAATTCTATTTCATGGGGAAATCAGAAATGAGAAATTGACAGGAAAGTAGAAACCCATTTAGCCAAAGTAAAGAAATCAAAATCTTGGAGGGCCTAATCTCCAATCAATGTCTGTGTCTAGTTATCAGGCCAAGGCTGTGAAGACTGATATTTACAAATGGAAGAAGCAGAGTCACAGATTCCTCTTCGTTTCTTTGGACAAACAGAGTGAGGGGGGGGGGGGGGGGGGGGGGGGGGCGGCGGTAAAGGACCACAGTTACAAATTAAACCGTTCGAAAATTTTTTGAAGGATTCATCAATAGGAGCAGGTCATTCTCTGAACACGATCTCTGAGAATTCCATTGTACAAAGCCATTCGATTTCTGGGCATTCCTTGGACGACGCTGCGGTTCTCAGACCTGCAAACTTGATTCAAACTCAACGATTTCTTGCGGTGCTCCCTCCGGAACTCCTCGCTGTTTCCAATTGGATCAACCACGTCTTCTGCAAAGTGAACCCTTTTCTTCTTCTTGTCTCTCTTCTTCCCATCTGATAAAACACATACCCAGAAGGAGAAAAGAAAAACAGAAACCGTCAAGAAACTAGTTCAAGAAATAGAAAGAGGAAAAACTGTCGAAACAAGTCCTCGTACCAGAAGAGATGCAAGACCGAAGAACTGGAGCAGTAGAGTCGGAATTCCGATCGACGGCGAACTGGGTAGCTAGGAGTGGCTTCTGTCGACAGAAGGCTAGGAGGATTACAGTGCCCGAGACCGCCATAGCTGTTGCAAAGACTACTCCTTGGGAGCTCAAAATTGAAGACATGATGATGGATTAAGATTAAGCCAGAAGAAGAAAGAAGAAAGAAAGAACGAAAAAGAAGAAGAAGAATGGGTTGTTATTTCTCGTGGATTCAACGATGAGAAAAGCGTTGCAATTAACACGTGAAACAGAGATAAATAGAAGGGTTGAGTATGAAGCAGAAAAGGTAATGTAATTCTGTTCCAAATAAAAGACTCAAGATTACAATAAAAGGGTATTAATATTTAAATATTTAATAAATAATAATAATAATAATAATAATAGTAAATTAAAAAACATAAAATCTTTACAGTTCTAGACTAACTTAAATATCTGGATTTCTCGTGTCATCAGTATTTCTGAACAGGAAGGTGTCTGTCTGACCTTCGCTCGTGCACCGCACGGCAAGTTGGCAACTCCAAGGCGTCACCCTCTCCTTTCTTTTGAGTTTTGACAAAATAGAAAATAGAAAATAATATATTAATTAAATATGAATAGTCCTTTTTACCCCTGAAGTCAAAGCTATCCCAGAATTGATACCTAATCATAGGACTGACTAAGGATTGAACAAACATGAATTATTCCACCGGCACTTTCCAAATGTCTCAAATTATGAATACTTTGGACGTCATAATTGACATTTCTAATATTATTTAATTTTTAATGTGATTTTGATAAAAAACATCTTTAATGTGATTGGTAAATGTCTTCATAAAATGTAATTTAATGAAAAATAAATTAATCATATCAAGTTTTTAATGGGATTTACTGATCATCATCATTTTTGCCTTATCTCAATTATTCACTATATTAATATCGGTATTTAATATATCACAAATAATCATTTTATATTATAATAAGATTCTTTTTTTTTTCAATTAAATAAATTCACAAATAGGTAGACTAAGATAGGTAGGTATTAACGAGATTGGATTCAGTCTGTACAAAATGGTGCCCCACACCATATTTACAGCCACTTGCAGTTGTACATTGGGAATATTTCCCATTTAATAAAAACATACAAGTATAAAGATATTTCCGATACATATTTGCAAATAGCTGTGAAAATCGATATATAGTTTTTAAAATTAAAATCAATATATTATATAATACAATGCGATACATATCAATATTTTGAAATCATATCAGTATCGATCTTTATCAATATTTTATGCACGTTTAATTTAAATATCATATATGTATTACATTAATTAGAATGGATATCAATACTATATACCGTATATCAGAAATGTTGTATCGATACTTTAAACATTGCCATAAAATTCAACTGAAGCTTTATAATGCTCTATAACCCACTCGTGGACAACAGGACAAGATGAATTGTTTCTTGAATTGAAGGTATTTGAAAATTTGAACTTTGGATTAGACTAGCTAATCAAGAGATGCGTTTGGCTTGATTAATAGATTTTTTTTATTTATTAATATAGACTGAGCTAAAATGTTCGGTCAAAGAAAGTGAACACTAAAATAAAGTCAAAATAAAGTAGACTGTGGTCACAGTCCATGGAGATGGTACAATACATATAAAGTTGTAAACTGTAAATTAAAGGGAAACAGCCATATCAGTGATGTCAGATTCGATTCTTAACCATTTTGTCACAGGTTGAAGAATTGGACCATCCGGTCCGGTTCCATCACTTTACTCACTCATATAAAATATAATTAATAATAAATAATATGTTGTTTTAAAATTTCTTTTTTTGGGTTTTTTTTATAAAACTATAAAGGGTCTTCACTTTTTTTTAATATATTTTCATGGGCTTTTTTTTGGTAGTATCACGGGCTTTTAGTGTTTTGATCCTGAATCTTTTTAAAAGACCAAAAGAAAAAAAAATCCTAATTCTATTTTATTTGTATATTTCTTTATTTTTTTTTTTGCTTCTGGGAAAGAGTCCACGAAGACTTCCACGTGAAACATCAGGATCAGCTGGCAAGTGGTTTCTGGTTTCAGTCCTTGAAAAGAGATCCGAGGGCCCATTGTACTTAAATGGCCCATACTTTTGTTTGGAATATGCCAGAACCTTTTCTTCTGGATTCCAACCGGCGGAAATAGGTTTTGCTTGCATAGGTGGCTCAATGGTTAGGGCCCAAGTGCAATGCCGGTTCATACCCACTGGTTGAAAATTTTGGTTTAAGTGTTTAACCGTTTATGGGGTTCTGCTCGTGGCTTCGAAATTTCATTTAACAAAATAGAAAGTAATTAATTAAAGAAGGGGGCATTTACTAAGATTAAGCTTGAATTACAAAAACTGAATCCATGTAAACAAAGCTTTATCACGATTGTTTGGATTCACGAATGAGAGAGCCATACCAAAGGACATAAAACAAACAAAATCCAAAGAAAGGGTGCAATCTTATTCTTAGTAAGACCCAATTAGTGGGTATTTTCATTTGTTTTCAAAATTGACATGTCAGCAAAAAGTCCTTGGCATAGTATTGAAAATTGAACTGGACTGGACGGTTGAACCAGTTGACCTGGGAACCTGTCTTATCTCCATGTCCTGTTTTGGACCGAAAGCCGTTTGGCCGGGTACAGACTGGACAGTCAAACCATTTGGCCCGAAGATCAGTGGTTAAAGCAGTTTCATTTCCAAATCGAATTTTAAAACGATGACTCTTAGAATCTTTTTTTTTAAGTAAAATGCAGGTTGGTTTTGTTTCAAAAAAAAGATAATACGTGTTTTTCAAATCATCAAAAAATGTTTTCTATAAAACAAATTTTGTGGTATAGAAATGGTGCAATTTATTTAACACGATATTAAATAACTAGATGAATAGATATTCTTTAAACCAGAAATTCAAAAACCTGTTGATGAAGGGAAATTTGGCCCGACCTYGCGATCACCCGACACGTGGCGAAGGCAAGCAGCTCGGGGTAGTAGAGCGCCAAAGAGAACATCGGAAGCGTCCAAGCCCACTACCGAGCCCGAACTCCAGACCGCTGTACTTAGCCCGAGCTCCCTGTTAAGAGCGAGCTCCCTAAGTCCGAGCTCCTTGAGTCCGAGCTCCCTAAGTCCGAGCTCCCCAAGTCCGAGCTCCCTACTAGGAGCCCGAGCTCCCTGTTAAGAGCGAGCTCCCTAAATCCGAGCTCCCTAAGTAAGAACCCGAGCTCCCTAAAATCCGGGCTCCCTGTTAAGAGCGAGATCCCTGTTAAGGGTCCAAGCTCCCTAAGAACCCGAGCTCCCTAAAATCCGAGCTCCCTATTAAGAACAAGTTCCCTACTGGAAGTCCGAGCTCCCTATTAAGAGCGAGCTCCCTACTGAGAACCCGAGCTCCCTACAAGGGGCACGAACTACACGGCCCCGAGCCTCACAAAGCTGACCCGAGCTGGCCCATGGCAGCTCGAAACACTCCAAACCGAACTCAAGGCACCTCGCTCGCCACTCCAACACTTCACTTCCA